GAAAGGCAGGGTGAAGTTGTTACCTCAAATAATGGGGGTTTGGGTTCTGACTTGGCTGGTACAGTTGAGGGTGCTGCAGGGCTGGCAGATGATTCTGGACAGACCACTGCTGATTCTGTTGAAAGTGGACTGGGGCCTAGTAGGAAGGATGTCACACCTACAAGCTCTTATGCTGGGTCAGGTAAGTTGATAGATGAGGATGGGTTCCAACTGGTTACAAGGAAGGGGAAAGGGATTATGTATGACTCTGCACTTAAGATTCCAGTCTCTGCTGTTCAATCTAGGGTTCCATTAAATGCTCAGGGGCATGCTATTGTTGACCGAGGTCCTCCTAAGAAGGGGAGGGGTAGGAAGAACAAATGAAGTTGATGAGCTGGAACCTCAGGGGCTTTAATGCCTCTGAGAAACATAGATATATAAATAGACAGTTAACAAAGTTGGATATTGATTTTGCTGCTATATTAGAGACTAGAGTTTTGGAGAAGAATGCAAGGGATATTGTTCAGCGTCAGTTTAGTAATTGGCAGCATTTAAATAATTATGCATATTAAGCTTCAGGAAGGGTTTGGTTATTCTGGAAGTCTAGTCTGAAGGTTACGAAAATTCAGATGGGGGAGCACTTTATTCAAGTTAGAGTTGAAGGGGCTTCTAATTGTATTGTCACAGCTATATACAGCCCGAATAAAGCAAGTGAAAGGGTGGAATTATACTCTGAGTTATTGAAATATAAAGTGGTGGGGGAACCTGGTGTTTATATGGGAGATTTTAACGCTGTTTTGGATGTTTCAGAGGCTTCGAATGCTGAGGTGATGAATCAGGGGGTCTGGATTTCAGGGGATGGGCTAGGGACATGGATCTTACTGATCACAAGATCATTGGCTCACACTACACCTGGTGGAATAAGCAGCTGGCAAACCCAATTGCCAAGAAACTTGATAGATTTCTTGTCAATATGGAGTGGTTGGCTTCCTTCCCTCAGAGTGTAGCCAAAACGATAGCACCAGGAGTATCAGATCATTGTGGTCTGGTGATTGAATTGGAATCACACCTAGGCTCAATCCCAAAGCCTTTTAAGTATTTTACATTCTAGCAGAAGCATCCACAGTATGGGAGTTTATTGAGTGAGGCATGGGAGGGAGAGGCAAGAGGACTACCATACCAGCAATTTTACTATAAGTTGAAGCGTTTCAAAGACAGGTTGAAGAAATTGAATCGATCTGAGTACTCTGACATATCTGCGAGGGCTAGAGAAGCAGAGAAGGCCCTTGAGCAGCAGCAGCAGCTCGTTCTCCAGGATCCAACTACAGAAAATGTGAGGAAGGAGGCTGAGTTGGCAACCTTATGCCATGATACTCAGCTTGCAGAAGAGAGTTTCTTCAGGCAGAAGTCAAGGATACGAAGTATTCAGGAGGGAGATGCCAATACAGCCTACTTCCATGGCATGGTGAGGGTGAGAAATCATAAGCAAACAATCATGAAGTTAGTAAAAGATGATAATACAGAAGTTACAGAGGTGAAGCAAATGGGGGAGGTAGCAGTTGATTTTTACAAGAAGCTATTAGGGGAGGTTGATAGAGCAGTTCAGGGTAATTCAGTTGACTACTTCCAGAATCAATTAAAGCAGAGACTTAGCTCAGAGGGAGTGCAGGTGCTGTTAGAGCCAGTCACTAGAGAAGAGATCAGGGAGGTGTTTAAAAGAATGCCCAATGATAAAGCCCCTGGGCCAGATGGCTTCACAGCAGAGTTCTACAAATCTGATTGGGGAGTAATTGGCAGTCTGGTGGAGGAGGTTGTTCTGGATTTCTTTCATACAGGGGTAATGCCTACACAGGTGAATTCTACAATCCTCTCTCTTATTCCAAAAGTTACAAATGCTGATAAAATGAAAGATTTCAGACCCATATCCTGCTGTAATGTGCTGTATAAAGGCATATCAAAGCTTCTTTCGAATAGGCTAGCAGCTGTTCTTCCTTTGGTGATAGGCAAATCTCAGTCTGCTTTTATCAAAGGAAGGTTAATAAGTGACAATATATTGATGGCTAGTGAATTGGTGAAAGATTACCATAAAAAGAACACCACATCTAGATGCGTTTTGAAGATAGATTTAATGAAAGCTTTCGATTCTGTCAACTGGTCTTTCCTATTAAACATGCTGCTTGCTATGGGGTTCCCTGACTCTTATGTTCGACTAATTGAAGCCTGTATAACTACCCCTAAGCTCAGTGTTTCGTTTAATGGTGGTCTATGTGGCTACTTCTCTGCTGGTAAGGGCCTTATACAAGGGGATCCCCTTTCCCCATATTTGTTCACTGTGGCGATGGAGTATTTCTCTTGCTTAATTCAGAGGGCAGCATTAGATAATCAGGTCCCTTATCACCCACGTTGTAAGGCACTTGACATCACTCATCTGTGTTTTGCAGATGATCTACTAGTGTTTACAAATGGGTCGATAAGGGGTGTGGCAGGGATTAATAGAGTGTTAGATCAATTTTATAAAGATTCAGGCCTCCGCTGTAACCCTTCCAAATGTCAACTGTTTTGCTGTGGTACTTCTGTTGAGGAGCAGCAATGGATATCAAGTGTTACTGGTTTTCCTCTTGGTAGTCTGCCAGTTCGTTATCTCGGTGTCCCCCTCATATCAGGTAAGCTTACTTCTGCTGATTGCTCTGTGCTAGTTGATAGGATAACAAAGAGAATTAGTACATGGCAAGCTCTGAAACTTAGTTATGCTGGTCGATTGCAGTTAGTATCCTCTGTTATAGCTAGCATTATGCAATATTGGATGGCCCTGTTTTTGCTGCCTCAAAAGCTATTAAAAGTAATTGAGAATATGTGTAATCATTTCCTGTGGGGTGTGGGAGACAGAAGTTTGAGAAAGAGGGCACTGGTTGCATGGAAATTTGTTGCTCTGCCTCGAAGAGAAGGAGGACTGGGGATAAGAGATTTTAAGAAATGGAATCAAGCTTGTGTGATACGCCATATATGGAATCTGTTGGCAGGTTCTGGGTCGCTGTGGGTCGCTTGGGTGAAAAAGTATCGGTTGAAAACAAGGTCTATATGGGAAGTTCAAGGGCAATCAGCAGGGACCTGGATATGGAGGAAGATTTTGAAGAGTAGAGAGGGAATTCAGGCTCATATATCAGGCAGTGGGGAAGCTCTCGCATGGGATAATAGGATTCTGCCGAGGTATTCTGTGAAGCTGGTGTGGAAAGCCATTAGAGAGTCCCAGGCACAGGTTGATTGGTACAAAGTGGTCTGGGGGAAGCCATTCAGCCCGAAGCATAGCTTATTGTTATGGCTTGTGCATCTTAATCGGATAACAACTAAGGATAAGTTGCAGAGTTGGGGCTTAACTGATGACAGCTCTTGTGGATTATGCCCTGGTGGGATTGAATCGAGAGACCATCTTTTCTCAGGATGTGCTTATGGCAGAAGTGTCTTTGTTGCTGTGTTGTCTAAATTTTGCAGGTTCCCTGAATGTTCTACATGGCAAGACCAAATGCAGTGGGCAATCAGACAGTGGGCTGGGAGTTCTAATGTATGCTGTGAGGGTCGACTGAAATGGTCCATGTGCGTGAGCTATATTTGGCGTGAACGCTGTAGGTGTGCACATGATGGAGTGTTCTGCCCCCCAGGTAGATTGGCGGGTCGAATTGAGGAAGAGGCAAAATGGCTCCTGGCGAGTAGGCAATCTTGAAGTATACTGATATATTGTATAGATAGGGTTTGATATGAGTCGATGTATAGAGAAGCATAGCTACTAGTTTTTGTTGACTTTGAGAGGGGTTTTTGCTGTTGCAAGCCCTAGTGCTTAATGCAAATTTTGATTAACCATAAAAAAAAATAACACTACCGTTTCAAAAAAACACCAATATCAATCCATAAAACACTGCTACTTATTAACCAATATCATTGCATATTTAACCAATACCAATACATGCAAATCAATACCAATACAATAACATCGTTACCAAAAACAACAATACCATTGCGAAAAAAACAATACCAATGCGGAAAATCACTGCCAATACAAACAAAATACATACCAATACAAACTAAAGCTACCTCTTTTCCCAGTCGTTGTTTTGGCCTTGAGGAGATGTAGAGAACGGAAGATAGGGGGGGGGGGGGGGGAGGGGGGAGAGAGAGAGAGAGAGAGAGAGGGTCAAGTTTTTGCATGAGTTGTGAAAGAGTTCCCTGTGGAAGAAGAACAGAAGGGAAGAGAGAGAGATATAGATAAGGAGGATCGGGAGGGTTGGAGAGAGAGGTAACAGGGAAGGGTGGCCGGCGCAGGCGGGCGACCAAAAGATTTGCAGGCGGAGGGCTGGGTGATTTCTCAATCAGGGAAAGGGTGGGCGTAGGGTTTGGGGAGGTAAGTTATAAATATAGGTAATAATCTCGTGTGATAATATTTTGATTCTCAAACTAATCTTAATCTAATCTTGATCGTTATTTAAAAAAAGAAAAAAAAAATAGAGCTAATGAACGATTTAGATGTAGGTTGCCACGATGGTTACTAAAAACTAGTATTCATCCTAACGTATTCCGGAGGAAGGGGGTAGGGATAAGGAATAATTTGTGGTTGTAATTTAATAAACAATATTATATAATTTTGTCAAAATAATAGGTGGATGTGGCACATTCAAATAATTAATTTTTTTGTATACATCGAAAAAAATATTTTGACTCAGCTATTCATCTTTCATGTTAGAGTTAGCTAACCGTTAACCGAACGAAAAATTAACTGTTTGTCTATTAAATTATTTCGAAAAGGTTTAACTATGACTTTGTTAAAAGATGAAAGATTTGACCTTAAAGTGTACCTTAAAATAGTTTCCTCTTTCCATACGGAGTTTTTGGTGGGCCGAACTTGATTTTAATCAAGTCGTGGTTGCTTCGGGTCGGTGGCCCGAATGAAGGAAACCTGGGCCAAAAGAAACCCGTTAAGAGAAATCAGACTTTACTTGTCACCGTCCAGTTCGAAATCTCCATGGCTGTGGCTAAGCTCAACAGTGCACATAATTTATTACCCTTCACCATACAGAAAAGAGAGGAAGCAGAGAAAACGATTCCCTACGGTCTACGGTGTGGGGGTGACTCCGTCTCAGCGGGCGGCAGCTCTTCGGCGTCATTGCACCTTCGCCTAGTTTTGTAATTCCTCCTCGCAGCAGCTTGGCCGCGCTCCGTAAATCGGAAGCAGGGGAGCTGTTTGATTCCGGCGACTACCAAACCATGACGTCAATCACTTCCGTCGAATTGAACTACCTCGTCTTCCGGTACCTTCAAGAGTCAGGTCAGTCGTGGTGTCCCCTTCCCTTTGAATCCGGTTTCTCCTGAACAGAATTAGAGATTTTATCTTCATGGTAGACATAATTAGGGTTTCGGTTTCGAGGCAGAGGCTTTTGAGTTTTGAACCATCGGTAAATTATGTTGCTTTTAGTTGGTAATTGGTGTTTTCGTTCACGAGAGAGTGTTCTTATCTTCGTTTCGCTGAGGGGAGAAAGCATGCAAGGCTTGCAGATCTGTTAAAACTTCATGTAGTTTTTTTTTTTTTTGCTGCTTGGTAGGGGTGTTGTAGCGTTTGTTTAGGGTATTTGGTCATGTTTCGTTTATTTATGTTCTTTTGTCGGTGTCTTTAAGCGTCCATTCGTTTGTTTAGAGCGCAGAATGCAAATTGTCTGTGAGCTTTTCATAAAAAACTGTGGATGGTGTTCTCTGGCTGCTTGAACCTTGAATGCAGGATACTAAGTAATTGTAGCTAGTTAACTGTAAGGAATTAGCACAATGGATGGTGTTTCTAGTACTGCAACGACCTTGAATGTAGGATGCAAAGTTATTGTAGTTAGTTCCTTTAAGGAATGACAATATTTGATAGAGGAAGCCTGGAAACTTGGTCTTTCACCTTGCTTACCTGGACTGTTTGAATGTGGATTCTCATGTTTTCTTGTTCAATATTTGAAGTTATTATAGAAGATTATCGAGTTAAGAGATTCCTTTCCAAAGACGAGAATATTCTCATAACAGATATCTTAACAGAATCTGTTTCGAATGTTTGTTACTTTAAACTTGCAGGTTTCACACATTCAGCATTTGCTTTAGGTTATGAGGCGGGTATTAACAAATGCACCATAGACGGAAACATGGTTCCTCCAGCTTCTCTTATAACATTTGTGCAAAAGGGACTGCAGTACTTGGAGATGGAAGCAAATTTGAGTAATGTAAGCATGCATAATTCTTTTGCTCCCAAAAAATTATTTGAGATTAGATGTGCTTTTGAATTTAGTTGATCTAGGCTTGTTTTAAGCTTGCAGAGTGATGCTGACGTTGAAGAAGATTTCTCATTTCTGCAACCTTTGGATCTAATCACAAAAGATGTCCGTGAGTTGCGGCAAATGATCAAAGAGAGGAAAAAAGGTCTGCAGAAGGAGAGAGATAAGAGAGAAAAAGAGAAGGAGAAGGAGAAGGAGAAAGAGAGAGAAAAGGATAAGGAGACTGAGAAGGAGCATGAAAGAGAACGCGCACGTATAAGAGAGAAGGACCGAAAGGAACGGGAAAAAGAGGTAGAAAAGGATAGAGAGCGGAATGAAAAAGTGAGAGATCGAGAAAAACAACTTGAAGATAGTGCTGAAAGAGGGGCCATTCCTGACCAAGAGGAGAAGACTGTTGTCAAACAAGAAGAAAATGGAATTTCCGGAGGTGAGCTTATTTATGTCGATGATCCATTTGGCCTGCTGTGCAAATATGACTTTTTGTTCCATATGTTGATATCTTCAGCTGCTCCCTGAAGCCAGCACACATGTGCTTGAAATTTTAGGAAATAATTCGTCCTTCTAGCATTCGTTAACAAAAATGAAAGTAACATGAATATGGAACCATAAAAATGAATCCTTACTTCTAGTTATAATAGAAGAATGACATTTGTGCTGGTTATCGAAAATACGCCCGAGTATTGTGATGCTAACTATATGGAGAAATTGCTGGATTTGTCCTTCTGTCTGTTTGTTTGTGTCCCTCGTATCTCTGCTCTATTCTTTTCTTCGACTACTTCTTTGTAATTCATGTCCCTCTTTCTCATAATAGGTGCTGAACCAATGGAGATGGCTGTTCCATCAACATCTCAGACATGTGAAATTAGTAGTTCCGATGTGATGATATTGGAAGGTCATGCTTCGGAGGTTTGTAATTGTTGACCATTTCCATTAGCTATGTGCTGTTTAGCTCGATTTTACTCTTGTTTTCAGGTAAAGTCTACTTGACAAAATTGTATTTCCTCCTTTTCTCTAGGTTTGTGCCTGTGCATGGAGTCCTACTGGATCACTTCTCGCATCAGGGTTGGTCTCTATTAACTAAGAAACTTATATTAACTGTGACTACTATTTTGGGTTGTGTTTTCTGGATCTGTTGCATGTTGCACACCAAGAGTTGGACTTGCATTTTATTAGTTTTATTGGAGAAGTTTCATGCATGTTGCCTTACATGGTAGATCTGGAGATTCAACTGCACGTATATGGACTGTTGCGGAAGGGACTGCTAGAACTAGTATGCAGAATGGTCCGGCAAATGTACTGGTCTTGAAGCATGTAAAGGGGAGAACAAACGAGAAGAGTAAAGATGTGACAACACTGGATTGGAATGTAAGCCATGTTAAATCCTTCGTCGTTAAACAAGAGTAGTTTTAAATTGGCATGTTGATTTTGTTTCATGGATGTCAAAGCATCAATGGTGTACCAGTGTCGTGTGGAAATTTTGTCGGCTTGTGCAGTGGATATACGATTTTGTCAGCCTTTTCGTTGTCTGTATGCTCATTAGAATCTCTCGTGTGGTCATTCCATCGTCTCGAAGTTCAATGAACCTAGAGTGATGAACTATTACTTCATTTTGTCAAATGAGTGCAAATAGATGTGTCGTATATACAAGAGGTTCTTTTAAATTGTGTTATTTTGCTTTCTGCTTGCAGGGTGAGGGAACATTACTTGCTACAGGTTCATATGATGGGCAAGCCAGAATATGGAGTACGGCCGGTAGGGTGTTCTAGCTTGCATTCTACTTCCAGCATTGGAACCTATAGTAATGCAATAATTAATGAATTGTTAGATCATCTGTCCCGGCCATCTGTTTAACATGAATTCTTGCTAATTATCCTTGTGAATATGCATATTCTTTAAAGCTTGATAAGGAATTGAATCACTGGAGTCAGGTCAAGTGTAAAAGTTTACTCTTCGATCATGACTTTATTGACTTTGGGAGCTCAGAATTTGTTGGTGTCTCATTGAACTTAAATGTTTCAATGAATATTGTTGATATAGAGGGAGCTGGGGCTAGCTATTTTCTGAATTTGTGTCTTGTCTATTTGGGGTTCAGGCGAGCTGAAAAGTACTCTATCCAAACATAAAGGACCTATTTTCTCTCTAAAGTGGAACAAGAAGGGAGATTTCCTTCTAACTGGAAGCTGTGACAAAACGGCGATAGTGTGGGATGTGAAAGCTGAGGAATGGCGGCAACAATTTGAGTTCCACACAGGTTCGTTTTTCTTTTCTTTTTTATTTTTATTTGAACAGGTGTTTCTCTGCTCTTCATTTCTGGAATAAAACATTGAGTAATTGAGTTTATTTTAGGTCCTATACTTGATGTTGATTGGCGCAACAATGTTTCATTTGCAACAAGCTCCACGGACAATATGATATATGTATGCAAAGTTGGAGAGACACGCCCAATAAAGACATTTGCTGGCCATCAGGTATGTCCAAGGAACTATGTTTGTTCACTGTTAAATTTGAGAACTGAATCGAAGTCTTGAATTCTGTGTTGGCTGTGTGTGCATTTCCATCTGACTATCTTCTAGACTCTTAGTAAAGCTTTAATATACACACAAAAAAAAAAAAAAAAAAAAATTGAGCTGGTGGGCTAGAGATTGTTGCTGGTCATATTTGACCTATGGGTGAGTGCACACCAAGAATTACGTGACCAAGCTGCAGTTAGAGTCTGATCAGCTGTGAACTTTTATTCAATTTATATTTCACGAATGTCAACAGTCCTCTTACTATCTTAATAAATGAAGGATATTTTGGCACTGTATGAGTCTGACATCAGTTTAGTATGGTTGTAGTCCAAGTTAGACTTGGGCATGGCTGTGCTCTGAATGTCCTGACTCTCTTTCTGCTCATAGGATAGTACTTATAGACCTAGACATGCTCTCTGCCTACTTGAATGGATTGCTCTGTTTAAAGGGCTGGTTATGTGCTTTCCATTTATGGCATTCTATTCAGGGTTTCCAATGAACTGTTTGTAGTTTCCTCACAAAATGTAATCCTTTAATGGTTGCTATTTTTGTCTTCTGATTTTCAGGGTGAGGTTAATTGTGTTAAGTGGGATCCAGCAGGTCAGCTATTGGCATCTTGCTCTGACGACATCAGTGCTAAGGTTGTTTGCACTGTTTTCTTCAATTATTCATCAATTTACAATTTGATTTTCTCAATTTCTGAATTTCATGATACTTGCATGCATTTCTGTTGCCCAAGAGCTTCTAAGTTAGGTTTTTCATTGGGTTGCTTGTTTAAGTTGGCGACTTATAAGTTCAATCATGCTGCAGGTATGGAGCATGAAACAAGAGAAGTATGTTTATGATCTAAGGGAACACACCAAGGTAATTTGGAATTCCAGTTTTCATAAAAAATGTTGTTTGCTATAGGATCCTTTTCCAGTTAGATTATACAACTAATCTGGTTCTTTGCAGGAAATATATACACTTCGATGGAGTCCTACTGGACCTGGTACCAATAATCCTAACCAACAATTGGTGCTGGCAAGGTAGGGTTTCTCATTTTTGGATGCGTTTCTTTAGGCTTTTTGAATTTTACAGAGCCGGAGAAGTAAGAATGAAGTCTTTGGTGAAGTTCTTATTAGGAAAGTAGTGTCATTGAAGTTCTTTCTTTCTGATGGGTGTTGTTTGTCAAGTAGGATTATTAACATTGAAAGGGAATTCTTCTAAAACAAGGAAAAAGAGAAGGTAGAATGATCAAAACTGGAGTCCTTGTTTAAAAATTCTGTGCCATTGGGTTGATACAATTTAAAAAAACATGAGGGGTTTATGTGGCTAAAGTTAAATGGGGAGAGTGTTTGATTTGAGCGCAAAGGCTGCTTGCTTCTAAAATATGAGACCCTAAAAGTTGAGTTGCACCGAACACACTTATATGTCTTTATACTTGGATTTGATGACCTTTGACTCGTTTCTATTACCGATATGGTCCTGATTATAATTTTGACCCTGTTTCTAGGTCGTTAGCAACTTCTTCTGTCCCTTTCAACCTGATTCTCTATATTCTTTGTATAATGGAATCTTGTGTGGTGCTGCGTTATCCACAGTGCATCATTCGACTCAACAGTGAAGTTGTGGGATGTGGAGGTTGGGAAACTTATCTCCACTTTGTGCGGACACAGGTAATTTCTTTTCTTGTGATGAACAGAAGTTTCCTTCCAGTCATTCTGCAGCTGAAAAGTCTTTACGTCATTGATTTGGTTTCAATTCTTCCTACACTGTGTTATAGCAGTGCACAAGTAGAATCCTTTGTTCAAAGTCTAGGGAATTATTTCTGCAAAATTGTTGACCATCTGTCCTCCGACTGTGTGCAGGGATCCTGTCTATTCCGTTGCGTTCAGCCCCAACGGAGAGTATCTGGCGAGCGGCTCTCTTGACAGATGCATAAACGTCTGGTCGTTGAAGGACGGAAACATAGTGAAGAAGTACACCGGCAACGGTGGAATATTTGAAGTATGTTGGAACAAAGAAGGCGATAAAATCGCGGCTTGTTCCGCAAACAACACTGTTTGTGTCTTGGATTTCAGAATGTGAAAAACTGGAAGGCTCCGTCGCAACAATGTGACAATCCTTCCTGGGATTGTGCTGATGAGGGAAATAGATTTTTTACGCTTTGCTTGTAGCTGTAGTTGGCAAGGCAGCAGCTAACTGTGATAAGTTTTGTAAGTAAATTAAGAAGTCCTCTTTCAATTGACTTGTGAGTAGGGAACATCCGTTCAAGACTAGTTTGCATAGAATAGCTATTTATGTACAAAGTTAACTGGCGTCGATTTGTACACTATAGAAAATGCTTGCCTCCATCTTACAGTTCTGTCCTGCACTTGAAATTAAGGATTGTGAAATCGTAAATTTTACCGGAAAAGTCTGGAATATTTTGTCCCGAAATTGTAACTTAAGCATGGTTCATTTGATTTATGCAGTTAAAACGGTCTAGGTCTGGAATATGGTATCATCAGGTATTTTTGGTCAGACCGATAAGTAGGGTACGGTGTCTAAAATATGACTTAAAACAAATAAAATCCGAACCCATTACTCTCTAGTGCCTGCACTTTCTGTTAGTTACACAATAAATTGTCAGAATGACAACTCAATACCTTACTAATCTACCTCTGTTATTTTACTGATAAAATCCCAAATTTTAGGAACTTCACCCTACCACAACCAGGCATAATAGACCTCACAGATTATCGAACTACCTCCAAATCACGTCAATTTTTCAATAGAATGAGCACTCTATCCTCGTGATCTATAAGCAACAGTTTTGTGCAAGTCACTAATAATACCCGATTGAAGCCCTGTTCATTTCTATTTTCGTTTCCTGTTTCTGTTTTCATGTCATAAATTTGGCAACCGACACGAGAAAATTTGTTTACTTTTCATTCTGTTTTCTATTCGTTTCCAACAATGAAAACAGAAAGTGGCAACTTCCTGCTGTTTTCGGAAACGACAAAATGTTGTTTTCACCTTTTTTCACCATCTGTTTTCTCAAAAACAGGAAACAGAAATGAAAATAAACATGCCTGGTTTCCTGCTTTTCGTTTTGTTCCTAATGATGAAATTCAATATACTTTACATTCAAGAAATCGAAAGTTTTAAGTATACTGGAAACACAAATCTTATATGAAGAGGGACCGATCGAATAAGCAAGAGAATGTAAAGGGCAAAAAATGGGGCGTTGGTGAAGCAATAATTGGACAACAACGAGTTTCTGGTCTCTGCAGATCGATAAGGTTGGCAAGTTGCAAAGAACAAGGCATGGGGGTTGATATTTCATATATTCTTTGGCAACCCTTTGCAGTTGGTGTAGTGGGATCTGATTCAATCAAATGGGTTCATTTCTTTGTGCCAAAGAGACAGTTTTTCCAAAACAACACAAAACTGCCTTGTAAAAGTTGGGTTAGTTTAGCCTTGTCTCCTCTTGGCCCCTTACCCCAGCATGGGAGAACAGAAGAAGATGGGGCTCTGTTCAAGTCGGCCTTACCTGGCCGGCGGAAAACCTGTCTGGTTTCTCATTTCAGTCTGCAGATGGGAAGCAAACCGATTTCAACATGGGCGTTACATTTTTAGCCACCGAAAAATTTCCTGAGGCTGCAAATCTGCTGTCCTTTAGGCTTTTGTCCAAGTATTTTTAGCCACACAAGTACATGTGCAGATGTGAAGTCATAAAAAAAAATGTGCTTCTTCAATTGGATAAACTAATAGGGTTTAACTGGATTTCTGATAAGGGTCTAGATGAGATATAGCCTATAGATCTTTGTCAACCAACGATAAAGATTTTTCCTAAAGACCAATCCATTACGTAAAGATTATTGAACCACAGTTGTTTCTTACATAACAATTAAATCAGAAGCGTTACATAAGACTTTCATAGTGGTTTAACACTTTACATGACACAAATTTAATTTTCATTACGTAAGACTTTAGTAATGACGCTTAACAATTGTTACAGGTCCATTACGTAAAGCTCTAAACGATAATTACTTCTTACATAACAGTCAACTCAGAAGTATTAAGTAAAGCTTCCGTAATGACTTAACCAAGGTTGTCAACCCGTAGGTCGACTCGCGGGTTGACCCACTTTGACACTGAGCCGGTGAGAAAACCGGGCCGTATGCACCGGCCGGGTCGCCGTTACAAGGTATCGGGTTGGAGGTCAAATTGTGTCATTTTTTTCGTTGGTTTGCGAAATGCGCATATTTTCTGAATTTTCTATTCGCCTAACTCATTTTTTGGAATCCTTAGTTGAACATTTGAATATTAATGTTATATAAGTGTCATTTGAACATTTGGAATCCTAAGTTGAACAGTTGAACATTTGGATATAAGTATGACATGTTACTTTGGTATAATATTATATGTTATTACTCAAATGTTAGATGAGATTGGATATAATTTATCAGGATAAGTACAATATAATGACTCTTTCCATATGTCCAGGCTAAAATGGGTGACCCATTAACCCTTGACCCACTAGATTGACCGGGTCCGGGTCAACACGCGAGTTGACAACCTTGGACTTAACACTTTACGTAACCAGAGGTTAAAATTCATTACGTAAAATGAGCGCCCATTACGTAAGAATTCCATTTGACACTTTACAAATATTATGTAAAGTACACATTCATTACTTAAAGGTTACAGAATAACTATTATTTCTTACGTGACACTTAAATTAGAAGCGTCTAGTAAGACTTCTGCAATGACTAGCACCTTATGTAGCACGAGGTTAACATTGATTACTTACAAGGACCATCCATTACGTAACTGAAGCGTTTGTGCATCGAGTTTTACATTTATAAACTCGATCGTCCAAAATACTAGCTACTCCAACCCAGGACAAGTGAACCCTAGATCGCCGAAGTGTATAGTGGTGATCGAAGTCGTATTCCAAGGGTCACGATAAAGGGGGGGGGGGGGGGGAGATACATGTGAAGAAATAGAAGAAGACTTGAATTGGAGAGAGCTCTCCTTCTCCTTCCTTCAACTTTTCTGTAAGCTCAACTCTAGAATAAAAAATCTTCCAAAAGCCAATCTACTCATGGGGAGGAGTCCCCTATTTATAGAATTATGAGGACACAGGCACGTGGCAGAAGATCACAATCATGATCTTTGGGTGAGAGGCCGCGATCCTAAGGGTCGTTGTTTTACGACTGGTTGGATGTGGAGTTCGCGGCCTGACATAACAGTCACGATCCGGAATGTCACGACCGCGATCTTTATAATGGGCACGGATGAAGAGAACCGCGAGTCAAGTATTGAGACTCTCTCCTCCCCCCTTGGTGGCTACTGCTGAAGTTCGCGCCCTTGGCATTAGAGTTTTTGGTTGTGATCTTAGCCCTGAAGGCTACGATCTTTTTGCGGTAGTTCATGCTCTGTCTTCATGACCGTGATATTGGCTCCTTCAGCTGTTATCTCCATTTTTGCACCTTTTCCTACACGTGTGCCCCTTTTTGGTACCTAAATTGTTTATATCATCTAATACACTCCAATGACAATATATTCTCCAAGAAATGAAATAAGGATATATTTCACAACATACTAACAAATGCGAACAAGAAATGACTTCAAATGAACCTAAATAGAAGGACTAAATAAACCATATGGGGTGTTATCAACTCCCCCACACTTAGGTGTTTGCTTGTCCCCGAGCAAATCTACTCAAGCTAGTGCAACTTGATAGACGATCAACATGGTATGAACTATAGGTTTGGACATTCAAGGTGTGCTCCGGGGGACTCTAAAAAACAATGAAAACATTGGACTCTTAGAGGGTGCTCTTTATTCTTTCTTTTCAAGATAAAAGTTAATTTTTCCTTGATTCTCCTATTTTGAACGTTGCCGCACTTGGCGTCAAACATTTGCAATTTTTCTTGCAAATAGGCAAACACTCCCACATACAATCATTAACATCGCACATCCATAATTATAGGGAGGCTACTACCAACCATGAGACAATCATGAACTTTGAAAGCATGCAATGCATTCCCCCCCACACTTAAGAGACATATTGTACTCAATGTGGGAGCGATAGGTAAGCTTCAAGAGATGTTACCAAAGGGGTTTGTGGGTTGAGGGGGGTTCACAAGTGTAGGTATTCATTGATTTAGAGATTTTTCATTCAAGCACAAACACCAGAGAGGAAGAAAGGGTTATCTGAACAAAAATATATGTACTACCACAAAATATGCTTTATTACAGATACTAAGTATTTAAGTCTAAGCATTTAAAAAGAGACATAAAGCAAAGATAGAAATTATCCTTCGAATGCCAAGTTTCCTTTCATACATGGTTGGAGCATATGGTAGTTGCACTTCGGAAGCTCCTTCTTGCGAGGATGGTCCATCATAGTGCGTAATCACCTCCGTTGGTTGCTTTGTTGTGCTCATGGGTGGAGGTTATGTTTTCGGTTACCGATTCAAAAATTACCAGCAGCGGTCGGTGGTTGGTAGCTGTAAGAGATGCCTTGGTTAACCGAGTAACCGAATCCGGTTAACCGGCTAACCGAGGCTAACCAATCGATGCTCTACGCCACCGTTTTATCCAAATCTCCAACCCTATCTGGCTATCTCCTTCCTTCGTCGACCCGCCCCTCCGTCCTCGACTCCACCCCTGCCGTCTCTGTGCTCTCACCCAGTCGCGGGGCCGCCTCCAGCCTCTAGGTCAAACCCAGCCCACCGGCCGCCATCTCGCCGTCCCTCCTCCACCCGACGACTCCCGCGACGACCCTCCTCCACCCGATGACCCCCTCGAACCCCCGCGCCGCCGCGCGACCGCCATCGACCCCCGCGACCCTCCATCCGATGAACCCCCTCGATCCCGCGCCGCCGCGCGACTCCCCTCTACCCCGGCGACCCCCAACAACGAACACCAAGAGCCCGAAACTCCCCTGCCGGCTCTAGGCCTCCAGCAAAACCCCGTCGGCCGCCGAGACTCCCCTGCTGTCTCTAGCAACGCCCACCATTGGCACCGAGACTCCCTTGCCGTCTCTCGCAACCCCCACTGCCGGCGTCGAGACTCCCCTGCCGAGAATCCCACCGCCGAGACTCCCCTGTAGCAAAAAGTCAATGTAAGTGTGAGGTTGTGTGAATTTAGAATTAATTGATGATGAATGATGATTTAGAATTTAGTATAGTGGAAGTACACCTGCCGAGACTCCTTTTGTTGACAAGGCCGCAATTGATTAAGAGACAACTACAGAAGACCTTTTCAACTGCAAAAAATGGTTGCTGGCGAAGGGCAAGGCTAAGTGTTGGAAGGTGTTTAAGAAGGTGATAGTTGACGACTATCCGATGGGAGAGTGCATACATTGTCATACTCTAATCAAAGCTCATCCTTACAAAAATGGGACCGCTGCAATGAATAACCATCAGCACTCATGTTTGACCAAGTTGGCA